ACAAGAAACCCGATCCTCGATCAATAGCTTGGTGGAGTTGACAAGGTCCAATCGAATAAAGAGAAATGACCCCGAACACTCCGATGATGGCCGTGTTGAATGAAGATCTCAACCGGAGGGGTCAATTTCAGGCATCTTTTAAATGTCTCCCAAAAGTCCATTCAAAATGCAAGCTCTACCCAAAAACCAAAAACTCTACAAATCCCAAATTCCAAGATATTTAAAATTGAAATTTATCCATCAACTCTTAAAGCAAAATCCATCCACCCTCCTCAACCGTTTGCTGGGGTGGACAAATCAAAATTTACTTCAGCTCACAAAGAGCAAAATGCCTAGTCGAAAATATCACTAGGAGGAATCCAATTTTTCAAAACATTCTCCTGGGCCGCCAGTTAAGGACGTCGCAGTACGTGTCCTCTAACCGAACGCTATTGCCGCCCATAAGGCACCGCAGATGAAACGGTTATGCAGCGGGACCGGAGGCCTCTGAACCGATTGTGGTCTCTTCACGCCCAGAAGGGCCACCACCGACAAAATCTAGTGTAGGCCAGAGTCAATTACGCGCTCCTAATGGCATCAAACAACTTCTTGAGATATTCGAACTCAATAGGACCCATTGCATGAGATGCAATAGGGCACAAATCCTCTTCCGGTTAGAGCTAAGGTTATTCAAACTGATATGTTCCGCCTATAAACAAACACATACCTAGGTCTACAAGGTCTCCCTGGACGACAGATGCCTGCAGGTAATACATAGGGTTCGAAGCAAACCCCTCGACTCTCGCCCGGCGTACCTTGGCCGGACCCAAACTCATCACAGCCAGTAAATACTTTTCATCTAATGAATACCTTCCCTGCTTTTCTGGTCTAGGTATCTAAGTGTACTTGGCGCCTCGCACTACCATCTCTCTAGTCCCCTGGTACGGCGGACACTACCAGACTTCGAGAAAACTTTCTACTGTGACGCACGATCTCGGCCCGTGGAAATGCCGACTAACGTGAACCTAGACTTATGATGCGATTCACGGTAACTATGATCTGAGTCGCCCATCACCCATTCCCCACACATCCCTTTAAGTGTCATCGGAGTGTGGAAAATTTCTTATTTTTAAATTTACTTAAAATATTTTCCAAATCTCCAAATCTTTCCGAAGTAAATCCACGATTTACCCCCCACAATCCAAACCCATTGCCTGCTTAATTATGGCAGATACACTATCTCTAACTATCTAATTGACCGACTAAGCCTTAATCGGAAAGTTCTCTCTCAGTGATTCGAGAGGGTAAAAACTATAGGGGCTTGCGCCTATAGGAAACCAGAACTCAGATTATAAAGTCCTCACAAAATGAGGGCGAAATCTCTGGGTAGTGTCTTATCTACAAACCCATCTGCCTTCCAAAATTTACCTCGAAACTTAGTTCGTTAAAACTCCCTCGCCGAATGAATAAAAAGGAAAGCGCGGCGGGGAGGCCAAGGCCGAATTTTCGGAGCCCACATCATTCCTTTGCACATTTTAGTTTAGAGAGTGTGTTGCTAAGGAGTTTGATTATGCACTAGCTAGAAGCTAAGAGAGAGAAGTTCTAGTCGGTTTGTTGGTGAGCAACTAGTTATCTTGGGAGTTATATTTTGCTAAGTTCTGATTTTTTGTTCATCTTTGTTTTTCAATGTTTAGTCACATAAAATGTTAGGAGACTCAACCCCAACACTAGTAATGAGGTCAATATATTATAGAGAGTCAACTTAGATGGCTTGGTCACATAAAATGTTGACCTTCTAACAACCCTGTTAGGAGAGTTGATATATTAGATCCGACCTATGTTAAGAAAGGTAGAGATAGACCTAAAAAAACTTAGTAGGAAAGTATTAAAAACGGTCTTTTTGTTATATTTAAATGAGAATTTGACTCTTCATATGACACAGGAGCAAAAAGGATTAATGAAGTCAAGCACACATAGTGGGAAGTCTTGTTGTTGTTGTTCTTGTATTTTAATTTAAAACCCTCCTTTAACCATTCATTATAATCATTTGTGTATTATCATCAAATTCTTAATGTTTAATCCATTTTTTTCTAAATTGAGTGTATGTCAATTCTATCAAACACAATTAAATAAGTTGTTTATTTTGTCTTTTTTGGTAATATACAAGTCGATCCTAACAAAGTCGAAGCAATTACGATCAGGCCCGTTCTTTCGTCATTACATCAATTCAGGGCCTTTTTGGGTTTAAAAGGATATTATCGTCGGTTTATATCAAATTATGCTTCTATTGCTACTCCTTTAACAGACAAACTTAACCAACTTAAGAAAGATACTTTTAAATGAGACACTCATGCTTCTACTTCTTTTAGTAATCTAAAACTTGCAATGACTTCCGCCTGTGTCTTAGCATTGTCTAAATTTACTAAACCATAAATATTGAGGTAGGTGCCCCCATTGTGGCTATTGGTGCCATTCTTTTGTAAAACAATCACCCCATTTCATTCTTTATGGTCGATTTCCACCATCCATTCCTTATGTCCTTATGTTTGTGACACTCAGACATTGTTTTCTATTGATGCTATTTTGATAGATCATGACACACTACTCAAAAATTTCTGCCAAAATATGCAATAGGATCAACACAGAATGAAGGTGAGCCAATTATCATTGACAGGATGTCCGATTAACCATTTTTTAGTAGGTTATGGTTAGGCTACAACCTTTTCTACAATCCTTCGTTCTGAATCGTACACATTCTAAATTGGCAAAACATTATTTTGAACATACATCAACTCTCCTTCATGGTGAATCGTACACATTCTAAATCCTTATGTCCTAAACCCTAATCTGATTACAGAGAGTCAACTTAGATGGTTTGGTCACAAAAAAAATAAAAATAAAATAAATAAAAATGATAAATAATAAAAAAATAAAAAATAAAAAAAATAGATGGTTTGATCACATAAAATGTTGACCTTCTAACAACCCTGTTAGGAGAGTTGATGTATTAGATCTGATATATATTAAGAAAGGTAGAAATAGACCTAAAAAAACTTTGGAAAATATTAAAAACGGTCTTTTTTGTAATATTTAAATAAGAATTTGACTCTTCATATGACACAAGAGCAAAAAGGATTAATATAGTCAAGCACACATAGTGGGAATTCTTGTTGGTATTGTTCTTGTATTTTAATTTAAAACCTTCCTTTAACCCTTCATTATAATCATTTGCGTATTATCTTCAAATTTTTAATGTCTAATCCATTTTTTTTTAAATTGAGTGTATGTCAATTCTATCAAACACAATTAAATAAGTTGTTTATTTTTTCTTTGTTGGTAATGTACAAGTCGATCCTAACAAAGTCGAAGCAATTAAGATCAGACCCGTTCTTTTGTCATTACATCAATTTAGGGCCTTTTTGGGTTTAAAAGGATATTATCGTCAGTTTATATCAAATTATGCTTCTATTGCTACTCCTTTAACAGACTAACTTAACCAACTTAAGAAAGATACTTTTAAATGAGACACTCATGCTTCTACATCTTTTAGTAATCTAAGACTTGCAATGACTTCCGCTTTTGTCTTAGCATTGTCTAACTTTACTAAACCATTAATATTGAGGCAGGTGCCCCCATTCTTTTGCAAAATAATCACCCCATTTCATTCTTTATGGTCGATTGCCACCAACCATTCCTTATGTCCTTATGTTCGTGGCACTCAAACATTGTTTTCTATTGATGCTATTTTGATAGATCATGACACACTACTCAAAAAATTCTGCCAAAATATGCAGCAGGATCAACACAGAATGAAGGTGATAGCCAATCATCATTGACAGGATGTCCGATTAACCATTTCTGAGTAGCTCATGGTTAGGCTACAACCTTTTCAACAATCCTTCGTGGTGAATCGTATACATTCTAAATTGACATTTTTCAAGTTCACTCAATTATCAGCCCAGTTGCATGGCACTAGCTCCAGAAAGCAAAATTCATCCAGTCTTCCATATTTCTATCTTCAAAGCCTTCAAAGGTGATCTGCCAGTCTTTCCCACCTCACTACTTGATCTCACCAATAACCACCGACCCCTCAATTTATTGAATGTAATTCTAGCTTCTCACCCTCCATCATTCTCACCGCCAGATCTTTTTACAATGGACATTAATAGCTCTGAAAGATGCTTCATAGGAAAATTTCTCAGCTCTTTGTGCTCCATTTTCTTCACTCAACCTTGAACATAAGGTTATTTTTCATGCTCTTTGGCATCATTTCCCTCGCTCAACCTAGAACATATGGTTACTTTTCATGCTAACGGGAATGTTAGGCAATAATTTATTCGTTTGGACCCCCACTACAATTCACGATAAGTGAGAAGATTGGGCCAGAAATGTTGAAAGACATGGCAAAGATAATAATACCCACATCTGAGTATGTCATCAAAGAGGCAAAACTCCTAACGCAAGCACCAGCCGTCACGACAGGGTGACGACGTCCTTAACAGCACCAGCAGCCAGAAACCAACCAAGCAGCAGGATGCAGACGTTCCCAGCAGCAATGACAACCAATAAACAGTTCAGTTGCAGGATATGGAAGCAATCCTAGCACAGCCGTAGGATGTAAACAGAAGGAATTAGCTTTTTATTAATATTTGGTTAACCCTATTTGTATTTACTCAGTTTATTTTAGTCTTTAGACCCAACTAGTTTTTAGAGTAGAATATTATAACCGACAAATGTATTTACTTATCAGGTTTCGATGTAACTATAAAACTACCAGATGTTATGGAAAAGATGATACTGAAGCACAAGGACAACAAATGAAGCCTAATGATAAATTCCAGCACTCGAAGGACCAGATTCCACTGCTCTCTACGGTCAATATTTATTTAAAAGGCAAAGCAGCAACGCATAAAAAAATAAATATGAGCTCCATGAATTGGAACTAGCATGTCATGGAAAAGTAAATATTCTATAGAACAATACCACAGGCAAAGAAACCAAATGATGAAACATTATCATACCAGTGACATCAATCTCCGTCAGCACTGTTCCATATGCACAGTTGTCACACATACCTGACATATTCATGGCCACATCACGGAGACTCATACAAATTTCTTTTTCCATAATATAATCAAAATGGTGGTTTCTTAATGCATGTTAAGAGTTACCATTACAGTCCTGCAGGGGCTCTCCAAAATGACGAAAGATAGCATTTCTTCGGCAACATCTCCTGGACTTTAAACACATATGGGGTAAAAGATTAGTGAGCTCTATCTTAAGAACACCATGTCTATTTTATGAAGGTACAATACTCCAGCTCCAGTTTTGTATTAATTGTCAGATAAGCTTGACTTGCTTTTCTATTTACATTTAATAAATCCGCAGGAAATCATAAGTATTCAGAAATTTCAGCAAAAAAAATGTTTACCTGACAGTATCTAATAATGTCATAAAGATTCTGCAGGCCAGAATTCTCATAAAATACCATCGAACTCTGTTAAGGCAATGATTGTGCTTTCAATTGTCAGAAAAATAGTTCAAAATGATTAGCTTGAACTGGAATAAATACCTGACGTGGAACATCACTAGGTTTATAATATAGAATGCATTCCGAAGGAAGTCCATCTCTGCCAGCTCGCCCGCTTTCCTGTAAACGCAAGAGGTAAAGTAAATCCTCTGATTAAAGTAAAGAATGCACGCAAATTTGAACTACCTGATAGTATGTTTCCATCGACTTGCTAAGGCTGTGATGAATGACAAACCTGACTATTTTCAAAAAAAAATACTATAGTCAGTGGGAAGCTTAGAAGCTTTCTATGGGAGAAAACAAACAAGACAAGTAAACTCAAAAGGTTTTCGATAAACTATCATACTTATATGGGGATGGAGATATTTTTCCACACAAACTTATTTTATTTAGTGTCTAGACGATCAACATCCAAATGATGGCCAAGAACCACAACTCAATCCACACCAGGAGAATTAGTAGTATGTCAATTCTATAAACTTCCAAAATAATTTAATCATGCATCACGCATGTAAAGGGAAAATACTAAACAATGTGCAAATCGTGAGATAAATGTATTTGAAGTTACAAAACAAATAAAACTCTATCAGCTTGCATACTTACACACAACATTTTAATGTCCTTTATAAGCTTTCATGTAGGTAATCAAACATTATCCAGTTATTCACTATGTACAATCCTATATTAACATTATCCATATAATCACTACGTTCAATCCAAGGTTTAAAATTGCGTAACTGCGCCTCGAGGCGGTTTTCGTCCGTGAGGCGAGGCGTAAGCCTCGAGGCGGTCTGAGGCGTAAGCCTCACGAACACAGAATTGCGTAAATGAAAAATTAAGGATTTTAAACCATGGTTCAATCCAATGTCAAACATTCATAAAAAACGATCAAGATAATCAACTTATTCTTAGATGGAAAAGCAACACCAATTGTACCGATCTTACATTTGAAGATATCTAACAAGAAGAACAAATGATGAGAACAAACATTCCCCTAATAAAAGAATACTCTTCATATCACTGTTGATGAACATGCCAAAGTATGTGCAGGAATCATCATTGTGAGTCATAGTACTTCATAACACAGCACCAAATTGCCATCATTATGCAGAGTGCTAGTACCATGCACTGAGCTTCTTCTAGGACAAAGATTCCTCAACCTTGTTCAATGAAAGCCAATTTAGCAATGCTAAATCATGATTGACGATCTTTTATGATCCTCTACTTATCGAGATTTTGTCTTTTTTATGCTTCTGTCATTTTCTCCTCTTCCATCACACAGATGGTACTGTCCTAACATTAAATGCTTGAGATAGCGAGCTTGTGTGCTTTTGATGTATCCTTCATACTACTCATCTATTGTAACATATTTCTTCTTAGTATAATTTTTTCCAATATTTTTTCCCTTGGATCTACCTCATATCATGCAATATTCTGTGTTATCTTTTTTTTCTAGATATGTAAAGCAACAATTAATTTCTCTTTTAAAGTATTCCTTTGGGGTATTGTTGGCCAATGAAATAATATTACTGCACTGCCACACAATTGGCTTGCTTCTCAACTATCATTATTTTTGTTATTAGTTCTCAGTTTAGTTGATATGTTTCTTAGTTTTTCTACCATGCTACTGTCTTGCTCCTAATTTTGTGTTTTATTATTGTTATAACCCTACTTCACCCTTATTCATTTATTAGTTTTATGTCAAACTAACCTTCTGTGGATCCTTGCAAACATCGATGTTCCCTCGTCAAACATTGATGATTTTACCAAACTCTCCATCATTGATTTATTTAAATCTCTCCCTCTCCATCTCATATAAATAGAAGGAGAGAAAGAGTAAGACTATTATCATTTTAAAAGGAAAATAGCATTTTTCCTGACGTACCATACATCGTGCATATGAAAATTTGAATAGTTGAGATTTATGTATTTAAATATGGCTGTGTGAATCAAAGAAGATGAAATATCTACTAAAAATCTTATCTATTCAAATATGTGGATAAGTGGTGTAATGTGAGAGGACAAAGGCTCATATCCTTCTAAAAGAGTAGTACTCAAGCTTATCATGATACGGGGGTTCTGATAATAGAGGTGGATACAAGCACTTCTTGAATTGATTGAGTTATGTTTACCATGACACAGGTTGTATTTACATTCACACATTTTAATTGCACATTAAAGGACTCATGTTGATTTGACAATGAATGAGTTGCAACAATTAAGGTTGGATCCAAATACAATACCATAACTAAATTGATAGTCCCATGTACATACTACTTCTGTTCTCACACTCTCCCTCTTTCGGACCCTTGAAAACATGAGTACATACTGCTTATGTTCTCTCTCTCTCTCTCTCTCTCTCTCTCTCTCTCACACACATGCTCACTCGCTTGCTTCCGCTCCCGCCCTCTATCTCTCTCCCTATCTATCTCTCCCTCCCTCCCTCGCTGAGGACATGCTCAGATCCTTCGTAAATAGTAGTACTAATGCTTATCGTGATATGTGGGTTGTCATATAAGCACTTCTTGAATGGATTGAGTCATGTTTACCATGACACAGGTTATATTTACATTCACGACTTTTAATTGCATGCTGAAGAACTCAAGTTTGATTTGACAATGAATGAGTTGCATCAATTAAGGTTAGATCCAAATACAATACAATACAATAACTAAATTGATAGTCCCATATACATACTACTTATGTTCTCCCACTCTCTCTCTCTCTCTCTCTCTCTCTCTCTCTCTCTCTCTCTCTCTCTCTCTCCTTGAAAAATGTGCCAAAAATAACAGATGACAGTTATCACCATCTGAAGCATTAGTTATTTTGTCAACAAGACCCCAAAAATGCCATCCACATGCATGGACATAAATGCATGTACAAGAACATTTGCTTTATCAGCAACACCTAGGTGCTTTAAGAACTGTGCCGTGTAAGTTTAGTAATGAAAAAAACATTTCACATAAATGACAGAATTTACCCTCCAGAATAATTTAAGAAGGTAACCACTGGTTTTCTGCTCAGCTGTAAACTAGATCAATAAAAAGTTTCCAGATTAATGAAGAAGCTTAGCTAGAAAGCAGAGCAGAAAGATCTAATATAAACAAAAGTAAATCTAGTAGACTAAACAAAAGATTCAGAGTTCAAATAAAGTTCTCATAAATTAAAGATAAAGAACACAAATTTTAATTGAAATCTATGTTAATCATAAAATAAAAATCAATTTGGAACATAGTGCTTCTAGCATTGAATTAATTTCTCTTTAATTTTACAAAATTGTGTGAAGTTTATTAAAGCAAGACTGGCCTTCATAAATAAAAAGGAAAATATTAATGCAATAAAGATAGTCAATTGTACCATCGGGTTTGTTGATTCCCATTCCAAATGCCACCTACAATTATCAAATAGTCCATTAAATACTTGCAAGGACATAAGAAAAGGATATAGAGAAAAATAGGAAGTAAAATAGAAAGCATTTAAGCATAGGCAATACATACCGTACCAACAATAACTTGCAATTTGCTGTTGCTCCATCTGTTACAATGAAGTTAAAATCAAAAAGAAAATTCCATTAGAATATGCCGTTCCTCCACCAAAGCACAAACACAACATCTAAACCAAACCAACAAAAGAAGAGAAAGAATTTAAAAGAAACTAAAAGTGCAGCTTTTTAAATAAAACAATCATATTCTGCTCAGTCTTAAATTTACGAAAGTAATATCAGAAATTTTGCAGAAATAAATTAACATGCCTAAAGCTTTCACATTCTCCAAATTAGTTTCAAACAAAAATTCATCGTTCTTTTATTTCTACAAGAGCTTCAGCATAATCAATTATGGTGAACTTCGAAAATTTGCATGATATGATTATTTACCTTGTAAGCCTGCTTTACTCATATCATCCGATGTTTAAAAAGTTAATGAAATCTCCTTTCACATTACATGCACACAAGCCATAAAAATTGGTGGATAAAATGACAAAAGTCAAAATTGAATACCAAAAACTAACTGTTGATAGTAAACTAAATCCTTCGAAACGGATTGTGCACCTTCGGACAGCAGCCGTTTAAGTGCATCATGCCCTGTGGCAAAAGCATAAATCCATGATACGTATCCTAAATATTAATCCTAAAATTTCCAGTCAGCTCCCATCAACCAGGAAGGATATCTAGGTCATTTACCTCCGATAACAAATTTGTTATTTCTACTCCACACATAGGAAACAACATTGTACATAGTTATTTCTCCTTCTTCCATATTTTCTTATTTTAACAAAATCCACAATATTCAACTTAGCCCGCAAACTATTGATAGCACACTGCAATGAGCACAAATCCTTCAATGATTTGGCTCATCAATGCAATATCTGTCACCCATGCAAAATTGTGACAACAAACAGGATAATCTCCTTTTCTTTTATAGTTTAAAGAAATTAAGACCATCTATAAACTTGGTATTTAGAACGGCAACTTCTTCAACGATATCATTATTTCTGGTTGCAAGGGATAAAAAACCACAGAATAACAATGTTCACAATTTGCTTTGATCTCCTATATGTATTAAATTCACACAAATAGCTTAACACAACACTGCCAAAATTTACATCAACCACCCCCAAAACTTAAATTGCTGGATCATCTTGCACTAGGTGCTTAAAATGTGCCTCCATGCCCGTATAGAATCAAGCCAAATTTAAAAGAACCATAAAATGAGAAAAATGCTTAAAGAGATTAACTGGACATGAAAAAAATGGTAATAGGTACCAAAAAGGCAGCGTTAATAATTAAAATCTTATCCGGAAACATCTCCATTCTTACCGAAGATGAACTTTCTCTCGAGCAACCACATCCATATCAGCGTGATAATAGTCTGCTGATATCCCATGTTCTCTCAATTCCTTTGCAACCTATATTCAGAATATTCAAGTAGAATAATTTTGGGAAAGCATTTGAAGAATCAGAAAATTGCACACAGAGATTGATGCAAGCAGATTGAATGATAAGAACCTAACAAAACTGCAACAAGACGAAGAATTAAAAAGTAAGTTATTTTGGACATTTTGAGCTGTTGTTAAACTTAACTCAGCTTTGATTTGCTAAATTACATGCAAAGATCAATGTATGCAGACTGAATACTTTATTAAATATATTATTTTAACAATTTAATAAAAATGAGCTTAGGAATCTTATTCACATTTCTGAATGAATACCTAAAATTTTATACAATGTGCATTTGATGCACATGCACTCTTACTAGCCGGTATGAGTAGATCGTGGAATCCACATTAAGAATTCTTCATAAATTTTGTATTTGCAAAAATATACCAAGATTTCCATACATACAGAAAAAGGACAGGGAGTAAAACCAAATGAGAGATATCCACAAACCTGCTCACATTCCTTTCTAGAGAAGCAATAAACTATCCCAGATTCACTGTTGCGATAAGATGACCTGATATATTCTGCAATTTGATCAATGACCACCTTGCCAACTGATGACTTTTCATGCACCTATTGCTCAAGAGATACAAAAGAATAAGATAAACAGCAAAATTAAATCAGCTGAAAACAACAATGAATACTAAATATAAAAGTTCTTCACCTTGTAGAATAGGTTGGGCCTGTTGACTGTACTTATGAACTTTACGCATTTAGGAATATGCAGCATTTCCACTAGATCTGTTTGGACCTTGAAAGTCGCAGTTGCCTAAAAGCTCTAAAGCAATTAACTTAAGAATATCAATTAGCATGACATTAAATTTCTAATCATAACCTGTCAAGTAGGTCTCATCTGGAGCATACAGTTAAAGCAACAAGAGGAACATGAGGAAATTGAATCTTCAAGATCCCAAGATTCTTATAGTCTGGACGGAAATCATGTCCCCACTGACTACAACAATGTGCTTCCTGCACAATCGCAAATATCAGTGTAGGTAAGATGAAAATTTGTATAGTGACAATCTAGAGCAGGAAGTTATAAAAAACACTTCAAAAAAGAGGATGCATGTCATACAAGATCAATATTTTAACATAGTGTTGCATATTAACATATTATTGTCTATTTAAGCAAATTTCTGTTTCTGAAATTTTTTGAAAGAAACAAAGAGCTCTGTAATGTAAAAAAAAAAAAAAGACAGCTACTGATATGACCGCAAGGCATTTTTACAGTACCTTAAATCCTGTTTTAATAAGTGAGAAAGCTGGAAGCTATTACTGTTACATATTAAGCAACCAGAGGAACCTGAAGAAATTGAAAATTAAAGATCCCAAGATTCGAGTAGTCTGGACAGAAATCATGCCCCCACTGACTATAACAATGTGCTTCCTGCACAACTGCAACTATCGGTGTAGGTAAGATGAGACTTTGGATAGTAACAATCTAGAATAGGAAGATCAGAAAGAATAATTTAAAAAAAGAGAAAGCACGCCCTACAAGATCAAGATTTTTGACATAATGGTGCATATTAGCATATTACTGTGTAATTAAGTAAACTTCTGTTTCTGCAAATTTTGAAAAAAACAGAGCCCAGTAAGTTAGAAAAGATGGCTAAAGATATGAACGCATAGAATTCTAACGCGGCATAAAATCCCCTTTTAATGAATGAGAAAAGTGGAAGCTGTTACTGCAACATATAAAGGCTAAAGAAAATACCAAGTTTCCAACGAATTTAGCCAAGAAAATCATGGGTTTAACTGAGTAGCATTCAAGCTACTAAGCCGGTAAGAATCATTTTAAATCCTTCATTTCATTACCAAACTGCAAATCAGACTTATCATGGCATCATGACATAAAGAAGACATCTAATATGCATGTTTCCATGCTTTTAGACCTACCACACTTTAACTGTAAAGAATATTGGCATTAAAAAGCATCATAGTTCAAGAGTGAAAACATGGGCATAAAACACATCATCGAGCTCCATTTCATTCGATTCAAGCACGTGCGACAAGAACGGCGATCAACAAATGCGATGTCGTGGGAAAAAAGTTTGAAGCACCCCGACTATGATCAACCAAAACAATGCCCATTCGCAAATCGGACTACACCAATGTATTTAGAGCACTGAAATTATCAAAGGACATCCTCCATACTTGACTAAATCAAACGGCAAAAATGGCGGTCAACAAATGCGACGTTGTGCAAAATCATCCAAAAGTCATCCATTAGAGAAATGGATTGCCCCATTGCGTCCAGACCATCGAAAATACAAATCAAAAAATGTATGCTAAATTCAAGTGAATGGGGTCGAAAATGACATACCACAGATTCAATCTTACATAAAGTCACCCAAGCATCACCTGTTTACAAAATGGACTACGCTGACGCATCTGAAATGTCAAAATTACCTAAAAAATGTACCATATTGTAAGGTTGTCGCATGAAGTGAAATGCAAAATTTGCCCATGCTGAGATGATAGCACGCAAATCAAGCCGCACAGGAAACTAGAGATTGCGTGAGGTGTCAATTCACATCTATTTTGTCCCTTTGTATGTTATTTTAATTAATTTTATAATAAAATCACTCAAATATATTATTAAAAAAAACTTATCAAATCATTTCCATCCTCGAAAACCTCATTTGAAGTTCAACGTCATATTCCCATCTTGTCATAATGATGGGCATGTTGCATTTTTTTTTTTCTCCTAGATACACAAATCTCTATTTAAACAGAACCAACTCCTCCAGCTCCTCCATAGTTGTTAGCTCACTTAAAAATCTTCAACAACCGCAACCTTCCTTCCACAACTGACCTCTTTCACACAATCTACCCCACCTATTGCCATAACCACTAAGGAAATCGCCAAGCTCCATCTCAAACCGACCTCCTACTTCAGCTACCGTGCCAACTCTACCGCACCCACCTCCATCTCCTTCCTATCTAATTGCCTCCAACACACCACCAACTCCTCCATAGCTGTCGACCAGCTCACAAAACTTATAGCAACCACAGCCTTCCTCCTCCAACCACGACATTGTCGAGCTTCCACCCAACATCAAAAACCTATCTTAAACCTTGTTGTTGTCGGCGACCCTTGCTCATCCTCTCCCTCATGCTAACAAACAAAGATATAAGCCAAATCCCTTTCACTTCCAATCTTTCTCCTTCAAATTCCTCTCTTTCACTCTCATTCTCCAGGTAAATATAGAGAGGAAACTACCTCTCTTACTATCTCTTTCTATCTCTAGCTCTTTTACTCTCCCTCTTTCCCTTAACATGTGTGTGGCCACCAAAAAAAAACTGTATTTCTCTCTCACCACAAGCTTATTTTCGTCCCCTTAAGTATAAATATAATTCAAATTTTTTAAAAATAAAATACTTGTGTGTGTTGTTCCAATGCGGCAAGGAAATCTACAAAATAAGTACACATGCATGTTGTGCCTACGTGGCAAAGAAATCATGTGTTTTTGCTTGTGCTAGTGACAAATACAAATGCATACTTTTTTTAAGCACAGTCCCATAGAAGGCCCGCAACTACTGTATCACACGACATTGATTATGCACACTTTTTAAAGCATGATGTGAATGCACCACACTCCCCTATGATGCCCCTACACAAGAAGATAAAAAGATGCCGAGAGGCTACCAAAATTCTATCTGAACGCTACTTAAATAGAGAATAATTAAAATGATCTGCTAGACTAAAATACAATGAAATGAAAACTTAAATGCACATTGTGGATAAAATAAAAAAACTAAAATACAATGTTCATTGCTTCGAATGAATAGAATGGAGTACAAAAAGGAAGCCCGCATAGAATACAACAATTGGCATACAGTCAAGAATAAGACTTCATGACTCCAACTGAACATAGCCTCTATAAATTATGTTAAATGAGAACTTAAACGAGCTAAGATGAACTGAGCTACATCTCCCTATCCATAATAAGAAATATAATTCTCACATGAGACCTACTATGCTAAATTACAATCACACAAAGATAAAAATTTTGATAATGTGAAGAATGTGAAAAGTGGAGGGTTGCGTTAGGTAGTCGACAGCCAGCGTAAAACTCGTCGAACAATAATGACATGAATCCTTTAAGAAATTGTGTTAATGCTAGGGCGTCCCCTGGAAGCGACGCGCTGTATGGCCTGAATACAGTGACAAGTGTGCAAGGGCCGCTGCACCGGCGCCCGGGTGCAGTGTTAAATAGGCAAGGGTTCCCACATCAAGGACGGATGTGGGCAAAGAAGCTAGTCCATGATACTAAAATTAGGATAGGAACTTGGAATATAGGTTCCCTTACAGGAAAATTAATGGAATTAATAGATATTATGATTCATAGGAAGTTAAATATTTTGTGCATTCAGGAAACTAAATGGGTTGGAGATAAGGCTAAAGAAATTGATAGTTTAGGATTTAAACTTTGGTATTCGGGTAGGAGTCGTACTAGAAATGGTGTAGGTGTTATTATAGATAAGAGTTTAAAGGATAATGTTATAAAAATTAATAGGATTGGAGATAGAATTATAGCTTTAAAGATTGTTGTTGATGATAAGATTGTTAATATTATAAGTGCTTATGCTCCTCAAGTAGGTTTGGATATGAGCTCTAAATTAAATTTTTGGAATGACTTAGAAGAATTAATACAAAAGATACCTCTTGAAGAAAGAGTTTTTATTGGAGGAGATTTAAATGGACATGTTGGTAGAGAGGTAGATGATTTTAAAAGCATTCATGGTGGCCATGGATTTGGAATGACGAATGAAGGTGACAAGACCATATTGGATTTTTGTTTAGCTTATGATTTTTTAATTGCTAATACCTTATTTAAGAAAAGAAATGAGCATCTCATCACTTATAAAAATGGATATAATACAACCCAGATTGACTATTTTCTTATTAGAAAATCAAATCGTTTAGATTGCAAAGATTGTAAAGTTATTCCGAGTGAAAATTTATGTACCCAACATCGATTATTAGTTTTGGACTTTAAGATAAAAGGGCATAAAATAAAAAATAAAGTAAAACAATTTTCTAGGATTAAATGGGGGCATTTAAAGAATATTAACAAAAATATTTTTGGAAATAAGATTTTAGATCTTAAGATTTTGTCTGTGCATGAGGATGCTAATATTATGTGGGAAAAAGTGGATACTGATATTAAGAATATTGCAAAAGATGTCCTTGGAGTATCAAAGGGAAAAGCTCCCAATAGTAAAAATAGTTGGTGGTGGAATCCTAATGTGCAAGAAAAAATTAAAAATAAGAAGCTTTGTTATAAAAATTGGTTTAATTTTAAAAATTATGATAATTAAGAAATATATAAAATGGCTCGTAAGGATGCTAAGAAAGCAATATTGCGATGCAAAGGCATTAGCTTACGTGATTTATATAATAGATTAAGATACTTAAATGGCAGTGATATAAGATTATATATATAAGTTAAGCCAAACAAAGAGATAGAGTAGAAGATTTAGTTCAAGGAAGTGTATTAAAAATGAAGATCAAAAAATCTTTTTCTTAGAAGATGATATTCAACAAAGATGGATGAGATATTTTGCAGAACTTTTTAATAAAGATTGTGAAAAATAAGATTGACTATAGTGACCTTAGCACCTAGATGAAAAAAAGATTTTATGTTTTTATCGCGATTAGTAAATCTGAAGTTAGGAGAGGCTTAAAGAAAATGAAGGTGGAAAAAAGCTGTTGGACCTGATGAAATATTTCAATAGAAGTATGGAATGCTTAGTGAGATGAAGGAATTCAAGGCTTACAAACTTTTTAAATACTAATTTAAGACTAAGAAGATGCCAGATGAAGTGGAGAATGAGTGTGTTAATTCCTATTTTTATAAGAATAAAGGTGATGTTCAAGATTGTGCGAATTATAAGGTATTAAGTTAATGTGTCAATACTTTAAAAACTTTGGGAGCGAGTTTTGGAGCATAGTTGCGGGTGATACTAATGTTTCTCCAAAATCAATTTGGCATTCTGCCGGTGTAGGTCGACTATAAGAAGCCATACATTATTAAGAGGTTTGATGGAGAATATAGAGAAATAAGTGATCTACTATGATAATTTATGATTTAGAAAAGCATATGATAAAGTTCCAAAGAGAAGTGCTAGGAGAGTTCTTTGAAAAGAAAGGAGTCAATAATGCTTATATCAAAATCTTAAAGATATGTATGCAGGAGCTATTACTTGTGTTCAAACACGAAGGTGGATTGACCAAGTATTTCCCTATTTGCGTTGGGTTACATCAAAGGATCAGGCCTTAAGCCCAATATCTTTTTGCTTAGTCATGGATGTTCTCACTTAGACATTTGCAAGAGGATGTACCTTGGTGTATGCTTTTTGCTGATGATATTCTTCTTGTTGATAAGACTAGAGAGGGAGTTGAAGGTAAACTTGAATTATGGAGGTCAACTTTAGAGTCTAAAGGTTTTCGCTTGAGTAGATCTAAAACGGAATATATGGAGTGCAATTTTAGAGTAATAGACCTAGTGAGGGGATTGTGACTTTGGGCGATCAAGTCATTAATAAGAGTACACGTTTTAGATATCTTGGATCTATTGTTCAGAGTGATGGTGAAATAGATGGGGATATTATCAGCAGAATTCAAGTTGGATGGTTGAAGTGGAGGAATGCATCGGGCTTGTTATGTGATAGAAATGTACCCCTCAAACTTAAGGGAAAATTCTATAAGATGGTAGTGAGGCCTGCAATGCTTTATGGTGCCGAATCTTGGCCTTTAAAAGAGAAGCATAATACTAAGTTAAGTGTGGCAGAGATGAGGATGCTCAGGTGGATGAGTGGCTTTACCCTTAGAGATAGGATACGAAATGAGCATATACGTCAAAAGGTTGGAGTAGCTCCAGTAGAAGATAAGATTAGAGAAAGTCGCCTTAGATGGTTTGGTCACATAAAACGGCGGCCTTGCGATGACCCGGTTAGGAGAGTAGAGGTATTAGATTTGACTTATGTTAAGAAAGGTAGGGGTAGACCTAAAAAAACTTGGTTAGAAAATATTAGGAATGACCTTTCTTTATTAGATTTAAACGAGAATTTGACTTTTAATAGGACACAATGGAGAAAAAGGATTCATGTAGCCGACCCCACGTAGTGGGATAAAGGCTTGATGTTGTTGTTGTTGTTGAAGAATGTGAAAAGATTCTCACTAGCCTTTTATGCCATTAGATCAACAACACACACAAAAAAGAAGATAAAAAAAGCATAATTCAAACCTTATTATGAAGCATTGTGCATGTTTCCATAATAAATGTCTGTGCATGCAATCAAATACAAATATTTTTAAGATTTCATATGCATCAAAATGCGATGATAAAATCTGAGTGCATCGCCATGAAAAGCAACAGCCTCAGGTGTGCAATCACTTTAAGAAACGTGCAACTACAACAAGAAGTGTGAAGCCATCTTGAGAAGATGCCACAACCTCAAAAAGCACACTAGTGCCTCGAGAATAATGCAATCCCCTCGAAAAGCTCATAACTGCCTTGAAAAGTATGTAGCTATGTTGAAAAGTATGCAACGGCCTTGTAAGATACACCATTATCTTGACAAGTGTACAATTATCTCAAAAAGTTCACAATTGCCTCAAGAAGTGTAAAACCACCTTGAGAAGCGTGTATCTAACATATGAAGCATGTGGCCGCCTCACAAAAGCATGCAACTGTATTAAAAAGTGCATAATCATTTTAAAAACAAGAAAACAAAACAAATAAAGAACACAAAAAATGTCTAAATACACCATCAAAAAGCATGTAAATGCATCGCATACGCGCACTAAAAAGCACACAAATACATTGAAAAGTATATGAATAAGTTAAACAAATGCTTTGAAAAGTGTGCAAGTGCATTGCGTAGGTCAAAGAAAAAGCACACAAGCATGTTTAAAATTGTGTGGATACGCTATTCAAATGTATCAAAAAACATGCAAATGCCAAAAAGTGCACAACTTCATTGAAAAGAGAGATCATTATGCAAATAGGCAGAAAAATCATTTAAATGCGCTGAAAAAATGTACAGGTTATCTAAAAGACATAATAATTGCCAAAGTCAAAAACACTCGCATGTGCTCTAACAAGCATAGTAAATATTCAAGCACAAAGTCAGAAAATGCTATTCAGATCAATAATATGTTAAATTAAATTTCTCTCACCATAAAAGACGTGCAATCACTATATAAAGTTTTTGTCATAATTTTAAATTTGCAAATTTCCTTGGAAATGATTCATGTTTACCCACATGTGCTCCAATGAACACACAAAATACATAAACATAATGTCTGAGAATGTTGCATTGGTTAAAAATAAGCAATGAGTTTAAAATTTATTCATCTTTAAGATGTAAATTTCAAACAATGCATTATAAACCCTAATCTTAGAAATGAAATGTTTATGAAATCCACAAAAAAATTATTTAATTTTAAGTATGCATTAAGCCTTAAATACCTTTTACAAAAGAAATTCATTACAAAAATGCAAATTCTCGAGTTCATCACTCACATAATGACTCGCAAAGTTTGAACTTGAACCAACCCTCTGATGGTAAACAGGTAAAGTCTATATGGTTCAAATGACAAAAAAAAATATTGAAATACCTTGATGATGGCCACGTTGAAAGCAAATATTAACCAAAGGAAACCTTAATTTCAAAAAAAGATTTAATCAATTAGGGCTTAAAGTATAATAAAATAAAAAAACCGTCGAGATGTAAAAATATTTCGAGTGAACTCAACTTTTCTAAAACTTAAAGCAATATTTATCCACCTTGCGCAACCATTTGTTAAGGGCGATAAAATTAAGAATGACCTCAACACACAAAATATTTTATAAAATGTATCACTAAAATTCATCTCAAATGATCTCCTGCTAATAAGAATGTAACACTTGTCATCTACCAATGGTTTTTCCATAAAATGGCACCAACAGTAAACCGTTATGACTGAATGATTTCACTATAAAATGTACCATTAAATTCTGGTCATAACTAGAGCCGCAAAATTCCCCAATGGCAAAAATCTATTGAGTAATGAATCAATAGGGCTCAGCTAGCTAAGGTCAACTTAAATTTATCACAGACAAAATCTACCCTAATTTTACAAAATTCCCTCAGACGAGTCAACCAAAAGCTACTGACAAGAATCCTTCAATTAAATTGCCTACTCTAAGTAGATTAAGAATTATAATAATTAGGGATGACAAAACCATGGAATCTTAATCGGGTTTGTCATAATTTCGCCCACCATCCTCTTTAAGTATAAGGTGATAAATTCAATCTTAAATCAATTTGCTTCTAGTATATATCAAACACTTGTGCATATCTAACAACTAGCATTAGTTAAAAGTGCACTCATTACTAGAAAAGATAGTTAACCATAGAGATTTATGCCTATAGGAAACCTAGAATCAATAAGAATGAAATCTCTAGGTAACGCATATCTTCAATCTAATACGTCTTCTAAAATTTTGATCCAAAAATACCCAGAATCTCATAAAGAGGGCGAGGCATAAATTTTTAGATCTCACACATGAGATACATCAATTACATGAATAGGTAACTCATAAAATGACGGTTCTTCTAAAGTACAAAGGGGAATACAATGAACATAATAATCCTAGAAATATATCATTCGTGCTATAATGATCACAGGCTAATAACTTCACATTCTTTACCTTTTCTTCTCTAAATCATTTTTTTGGATTTTTAGACTAATCAAAGAGTGTGAATGAGCCGTGCAAAGGAAAAAAAGAAAAAAGAAAACATCCTCATGCGGTGACTTGGTCAGGAGAGGTGGTCGCCACTATTAATCACTTGGTGGGATTGGCTGATGGGTTGGACTATTATATGACCCATATCCCTAGTGTGAACAAACTAGTTAAGGAGAAGATAAAGGATATGGAGGCGCATGAAAAAAATCAAAATGTTTGAAGATATGTTAATTTGCTTGTGTTTCTTTGTGCTTAACCGAATTTTCTTTTAGTATCAGCTAAGCATCGACATTCAGTTGCATTGGTACAAGTGCTTCTCAGGGTCTTCTTCTCCTTAAATAGTAAACTTTAACATGGGCAAGAAGGTGGTGAGATTAGGGTGGAAGGTGATGAAAGAATGCTTGGTGTCTAAGCTCAAATCAAATTAATTGTTATAGAAAAGCTACAACTTGGGCCAATCAAAAGTAGCTGACCAATTAGGCCTAGGAAGTCAAATAGAGAAAATGCCAAAACTTTAAGTGCTGGAGAAGACAATTTGAAGCAGCAGTGGAGATGATGAAAAGACCAAAAGCATGGAGTTTATTTAGCACTTATAGGATTTCTAATATCCCTAAATGCTACCAATTCAGACATTATTTACTTCATAAAATTCCAAGGACTCTTATCATAAAACAACGAATAAGCAAAAAATAAAATTTCCTTTTCCTTGCCCAGATATGTGCAACCAAAATAGTAGAGATTATCTAGATGTCCAATCATACAAACCATATAAAAATTTATGAGCCAAGACTTCCTTAAAAAGTGAGAAAGCTAGAGGAAACAATAGTATATCAAATGCCATGTTCTTTTTCTCATGATGAAAATAACTTACATCAATAGAAATAAGAGAAAGGCGTCCAGCATTATGGCATTTTTCGAGCTTAGACATAAACCTCTTGCTCTTTGATATCTTTTCAGGTGTAACATACAGCATTTTAAGATCAGCATCACCTTTCTCTAGAGCCTTGTATATAAACTTTTCATCATCCTTACTGGTTGTTGAAGTCAGCATGTAAGCTGGAATTCCCAGAGCCATCAATCCCATAACCTGAGTCAGTATTAACACTAAGTGAAGTTGTAGCAATGAAAAATTTGGTTAATGGTTTATAGCACCACAACCTGATCTTGTATAAGAGATAGCAAAGGGCTGACAATGAGGGTGATTCCATCACGCAGGATAGCTGGAAGTTGGTAACAAAGGCTCTTGCCACCCCCTGAAGCCATTATAACCAAAACATCTCTCCCACTCATCACAGCATTTATAATCTGGCATCAATCACAAACAATATGTAATCATATAAAAAAAACCATCTTAGTCGTCAGGGGAATTTAAGGAAGGCTCAAAAAGTACAGTTTGATCTTCTAACAACCTAGTTTGTAAAATAGCGAGGAAAGAATAGGAAGAAACTTTGAAGAGCAGATTTTTCAAATAAACACACTTTTCTGGGCCATGTTTGTTTTATACAGTCAAGTGACCGCACAACATTAATTGAAAGTAAATACTTTGTGAGCATACGTGCTTTATTGTCACAAGAAATTAATTTTTTATGTCATCACGGTAAGCAACTAAGATATTTGAATAGATTCAAAAGGTCAAAATATAAGAATAGTAACCTCCAAAAATCAACAATTCTTCATTAGGGGAAGATCTAAGAAATTTTTAGATCACCTATGAACGGAATTTTGACGGGCAAGTTGGCTCATTAATGAGTTTGTCACGGATAACAAGCCAGGATGAATACTGAATGTTACAAGGTCAAAATTAATTCAACAAGCTGAAGAAAAATATGAATAACAAGTTCGCAGTGATTATGAACATGAGTAAGAATGCATGCATGGCAGGGCCATTAAATTTGGAATCCTTCGCGAAATGTCAAGAAAATCAAAACTCAGCAGCAACAAACATAATCCTCATTTCAAAGAAAACAATGTACCAACCTCAACCATTTTGGGTGGGAATCGGTGAAGCTACAAGAACATCAATTGAGTACATAAAAGCAAGGAAATGCATATAATGAATGATCCAACCCAAAAAAAATGACAGTTCTTCATTCAAAATCAACAATTATAAACATTAAAGGGCTTTATGGTCAACAACTTATAATGTTCAATAAGCAAATCCAGTCTTTGAATGACAAATTAATCAGCTTCAATTGAAAAACACTCACTTCCCGCTGATTAGCGCGATAGCAGGATATGCCAAAGATATTGAATCGGGTATCATCAGCTAGGGTATCCCACTCAAAAGTACCGGACCAATCAGCTATCACACCAGTACTATCGATTGTAGCTGCAGCAGGTTCTTCACATTCTTTTAACAAGGCTTTCAGTTCAGATTGTTTCTTGTAAAGATCTTCTTGTCGATCAAGCAACAATTTGATTTGGTCTGTGGATAGAAAAAGAGAATATGAGGATTATCTTGCAGTATACGGAATGGAGATTAGAAGAATACAAACAAGAATATCAAAACAATGAAACCGCTGAAATGAAAAATGTATTAACCAAAAAAGGCATATTTTCCAATACTTAAAGGAACATTTCCATCTCTGGAGATGTTATATCCTATTTTTTGGGGCATAGATCATAACAAATTTGTTAAAGAGTGACCTGATTGCAGAAGCCCCAATTCTCAATCTATTGTGGTGGCTACTGATAGGAAATACTTGAGTTCGCAAGTAATCCTATTGAATTTACTTGAGTTTGCAAGCAAACTTAGCAATAATCAGTAAAAAAAGTGAGAAAAACGAAGAAATTATGGTGGAATAACGATTAAACGATAGCAAATCATATAGAAAGCAAAGTGAAACAAGAACAAAGCAAAGATACAAGAGATCCTCAATTCGAGAGGAGGATTGCCTCTCCCAAATCTCTAGACAAGAGAGTCTAGAGCCCAAGCCGCCAAAAAACCCTAATTGAGAATCAATCAAAACATAATATTCCCTAATCCTCTCATCATCTTTAATACAAAAGTTTTCCTTATCTAATTTCCCTCCCAAGCCCTAGACGCCCCCTCCTTTTCAATTTGAAATCACTTGGACAAATGGGGCCGACCACTTTGGGTTAAACAAACCAAAGGAGGCGAATTGTTTCCGCCTCCTGTACACAAGCTGAGCCGGCCCTTGGGCCGGTTCAGGGTGAACCGGCATATCAGCTACCTAAGGGAAGAAAGATGGAGGAAATGAAAGAGTACATGAAGATCAAGATTAGGGAGTGAATTCCATAGATTTTGAGATGGGTATTATTTTACTGAAGATTCTTTCTTTTCCACAACTTATCCTTTCGTTGATTTGTGCTTTCATGTTCTTATTATTTTTGAAGTTAAACATGTGAAAAATAAACTTGGAAAACAAATAACTTCATATATAGATATCAAATCATTTACAAATAACTTCATATATAGATATCAAATCATTTAACAATTCAAGTGCCTCAGGATTCCTTTTGAATATAAAATATGTTGCAATAATTATCTCAGATAAAAATTATTGTGGAGTTGATGAAGTTATGAAGAAGATAATGAAAATTTATGACCTAATTACAAATACATCATCATAACTTTTTTTACTTTGAGTATGATCATAGATGAATATCTTGCGCATGCTTCATGTGTGCATGACGATATACTTAAATTATGACCTTGTGGTGATGAGGATGGATGCAACATAAGCATGTTTGTAATTGATCAAATGAAGTGTTGGTTGTTTATATTTGATCTTAAAAAGGAATTAAGGCGATGAGGAGATGTGTTTTTAATTAGAGATCGAAGTGTCACTCAACTAATGAGTGACGAGTAAATGGGACTCATACCCCATCAATGTGTTAGGAGTTCAATAACATGTGGGGACAACAAATTTCCAAGTTGTACTTTCCTTGATAGCATGTTAAGTATATGCGTATGGTGGTTATTAAGTTATAGACATGTTAACCAATGATCGTTTGCAATAATTCATTGGTGGGGACTTATTTTCATTATAGTGTGATAGGGGAGTGTGTATAAAGAATAGTGATGCAAGCATGACTGCAAATTTTAAAGCATAAGCTATGACAAGAAAAAATGTCCATTATTTTATCATTATTCTATGAGCTTTATCAGGAAAGAGAGGATTTTAAATTCTTCCCAAAAACTTGGGTTATAATTAATGAATGATATTATTTCCTTCATCAAGGTGGCGCCAATAACTCAACCCAATGGAGTGCATTTCAATGTGAGGCCAACCCTTCAAAGCCAGGATTAAAAAAATAAAAAATAAAAAAACATTTTATATCTCCCGAAAAGGTGGCATTCCTCTATCTTGTAATAGCACATCCATGCAAATTTTGGACTAGGATACATTTCTCTTCCTACATAGGTGATGCCTCATGCAAGCAAAGAAGTTCAAAATTCACAAGAGATCATAGAACATGGAATGGATCCACAAATGGGGCAAAGCAATTTCAAACTTCCTACTTAAATGGCAGAACACCATTGTAATTATTTTGATTTCTTTTTATTTTATGAAATATTGTAACAATAGTTATATAAGGAAGAGTATTCATGCAAGAAAAAGGTAGCTTGGTTTTGAGTTATATAAATGTCTTTTGCATTTTATTAGAAGATAGAGCTAAGTGGTACTCTCCAATATGAAAATTTTGGTAAGTTGCCCATAAAATAATATTTTTTCATGTTTAAAAAATGATTAAAGTGTGCATATATTATTTCCATAGTTGCATTTCTTTTATCATAATTTATGCTGGTGCTATCCTCTCTCCACACCACTCCAATACCCTTTGCTTAGGCATGATCACCATGATATGTTTCCACCATGGCCAAGACCCATCCTTACCATACCCCTCCCCTCTCATCTCTCAACTACCGTCATCCATCCCACATAAAATAGATTTATAATAAGCTTGTTTATCCATCTGGGCCCTTTTGGTTTATAGAGGTTGCCAACATGTCACTGATTGACTGATCCCCTAGTTTGATAATTAGTTATGTATATATAAACTTGTGGGATGAATAATTATTGGCATGCCATAGCATGACAAGACATGCATAGCATGATATGTTGCAAGAGAAATGTTATTTGAGCTCTCTATTTCATAAACATACTCCTTAACCTTTGATGCCAAATAGACCCTCAAATCAAGCCAAATACTTCATTTTGAAGAATTTATTGTTCTTCGGTTTATTATAGGTGGATAGAAATGCTATCAAGCATGGTAAACCGTCATCATCTTCCACATTTTTATCAGCTTAAGTTTTATCTACATCAATCAAGCCATATTTAAAGTTATTCCAAGTGAAAATTTTGTAATCAACATTGATTATTAGTTTTGGAATTTAAGATAAAGGGGCAGAAAATAAAAAATAAAGCAAAACGATATTCTAGGATTAGATGGGGGCATTTAAAGAATATTAACAAAAATATTTTTTAGAGTAAGATTTTAGATGTTAAGATTTTGTCTGTGCATGGGAATACTAATGTTATGTGGGAAAACGTGACTAATGACATTAAGAATATTGCAAAAGAAGTGCTTGAAGTATCAAAGGGAAAAGCTCCTAATATTAAAAATAATTGGTGGTGAAATCCAAATGTGCAAGAAAAGATTAAAAATAAGAAGATTTGTTATAAAAATTGATTTAATTTTACAAATTATAATAATTGTGAAAAATATAAAGAAGCTCGTAAGGAATCTAAGAAAACAATATGCGATGGAAAGACCTTAGTTTTTAGTGATTTATATAATAGATTAGATACTAATGAGGGAGAAAAATATATGTATAAGTTAGCCAAACAAAGAGATAGGAGTAGTAAAGATTTAGTACAAGTGAAGTGTATTAAGGATGAAGATCAAAAAATATTTTTCTTAGAAGATGATATTCAACAAAGTTAATGAAGATTGTGAAAATAAGATTGACTGTAGTGACCTTAGCACCCTAAATGAAAATAAAGATTTATGTTTTTATCGACGTATTAGTAAAACCGAAGTTAGAGAGACTTTAAAGAAAATAAAGAGTGGAAAAGCTGTTGGACCGGATGATATTCCAATAGAGGTGTGGAAATGCATAGGAGATGAAGGAATTTCTTGGCTTACTAAACTTTTTAATACTATTTTGAAGACTAAAAAGATGTTAGATGAGTGGAGAATGAGTCTGTTAATTCCTATTTTTAAGAATAAAGGTGATGCACAAGATTGTGCGAATTATAGAGGAATTAAGTTAATGTGTCATACTCATACCTGTTAACGACGAATGGCGCACCATGGCGCAAAGGTCCATTTGGAGCCATGGCGCATAGCGCACGGCGCGGCGCGCGCTATTTTGAACATGGCGCAAGCTATATAAAAATTATAAAATAATAAGCATGAATATAAAATATTATTAAAAATGAAAGACAAGCTGTCATAATAATAAAAGACAATCATAACATATATAAGTTCAACTAAGTAACATCCAAATATCTCATAATTAAAATATTACAATCTTTTTTTAAAAGATCAAACAAGAATTTAATCTACTCTTCTTGTGAATCATCATCATCATCAGCAAATGTTAAAAAAGCTTCATTATCTTCTTCAACATTGTCTCCTACTTCATAATCCTCTTCATCACCCTCCTCATCATCATTCTCAATAGCAACATCATGCCTAATTGAAGATTCTTTCTCTTTCCCTTTAGATCTTTCCCGAATATTATAGCTTTTATCATAAACACCAGTAGCTTTAGCAACACTTGTCCAAATTAAATCTTCCTCTCCAGCAATAAAGTCATTTTCTTCATCAGACTCATCATCTAATTTTCCTGTTAGCCATCATTTGCATCATCTATCTCTGTCAAAGAAATAGGATCAATGACATCACGATGATTGAATCTCCGAATCAGTGCTCTATTATATTTCACATAAACTAAATCCTTTAAGCGACCATGATC